TCCACAGTTACACTATAACTTAAACAAATGCTATAATTCACAACGAACGATTCACGCGCTTGACTCAATTGTCCATCTTTATCTCTGTCTGCAATTCAATTCCATTGTTGGCATCACTTCTTGGCGGTCTTATGTACAAGAATACCGCACGTCTAGTAAACACTCGAGGCTTCGCGAACGGACATGAATTTTCTAGAAGCTCATGATGTATTACTAGCGTCACATGACTTCCGCTGTCGCAACAATTTTTATTACAGTTATAAATTTCTTAGTAATGAGGAATTGAAGATAATTTTATTATAACACAAGTACACATGATAGCTCATCAACAGCTAAAATTATCACGAATCATGACAGTGGTTCATAATAGGGATTGTAAGGAATTGCACAAAACCCTAATAGAATGTTCTGTCAAAAAGCATCTTAAACAATAATGATTCAATGCAAACAACACTTTAAAACATGGTAACTAACTTTTATACATTATAATAATAATAAACACAGCTAGTTGATATATGGATCATGATGATTTACTGTAGCTCTTGACTATTTGATCTCATTAGTTCAAGATATAAAATTTTGAGCTGCAGCTAAAGATTGTCATGGAGATTTGATCTAGAATATAGAGAACATTTATAATTTCTGTGTAACTAAATAGCTCAGTTGTTAGAGCACTGGTCTTGTTGGCAAAAGGTCCCAATTTCAAGTCTTGGTCCTGGAGTCTCTTCACTTATGAGTATCATTTTCATTGAAAATAATCAGATGAATTTATATTCTTCTTGGATAAGATATTTTATTGTTTATTAAGTATAACAAAAGTATACTATTAGTTGGTGATGAATTCCATTTATGAAAAATATTTTTTTAGAACTCCAAAAGAAGAGATGTGCATTTTTTCCATGATTGGAGCTTTGTGCAAGATTTATATAATTTTATTTGAAATTAAAATTCTTTCTTTTACAATGCAGCTATTAGCATAATTTTTGTTTAAATTAATTCATTTTTCTAATTCTTTTTTTGTACACTTATTCATGACTTGCATCTTTTTGCAGTTTTATTAATTATCTTTATTAATGTCTTATTAAGGACTATCCAAGGTGATTACAGAACAAATTCAATACAGTAAGAGCTTTGGTTTGAGGTTAACCAATTAAAACTAGACCACCGGTATAATTTTAGTTCAAAAATAGCCAAGGTCTATAGGTAATCCATGTAGTTTCCAGTTGGCTAGTATTATAAAGCAAGTTAACTTGCCACAATTTAAAAAATGTAGAAAATAGCAAATCATTCAGTTCAAGACTGTAAGCACAAAGTTTGTTTATATTACCCAGAAGTACATATGAAATAGCTTCTTGTAGTAAGTAGTAATGATTTTTAATTAGATGCTTGCATGTCATGGTCATACTGATCTCATGTTGGCCTGACAATTAAACAGCCTGTTAGTAACAAGTTTTATCTTTTGTGACATTTATATATAATGATAGCCAAAAATTGTGAGGAGACCTATGCATTGCCACATGATTAATAAGATATTTTTGTAACTCGTGTAAAAGGGGTGATAACAGTTTTAGACAGTTTTGTAGGATATTATCTTACTAAAAATACACAGTAAATGCAGAAAAATCAACACTTCCTTTGATTTAAAAAGTAATATTTTTTTTCTCACTTTAGGCATTCCTTGTCATGAGAGCAACAATGACTCAGTTGTGTTTTAGAGGGATTGTGCTTTTCACCACAGGAGTATTTTTTGCCCTAATGCTGAACTTTTTGCAAATCCAACGTCTCCTTCCAGCTTTGAAACTTCCCTTCACATCTACAATTTTATACTCTCCTTGGTGGGTTCCATTTATCTGTGGGACAGCATCAGGTTAGTAAATGATGAAATGAATCAAAATTTCTGAAAATACCCTTTATGTTTTGAAGAGTTACGTGTGAAAAAAAAAATTGGTAATGTTTCTTTTGGCCAGCAATTTACATTTGGTTTAACCCTTTTGTGATGGGCTCGGTATAAAATACACAAATTCATATACACATTTGCACACATTGTATTTATACCATAACTTTTAATGCTGTATGTGTATCTTCACAAAATTTGCTAGACTTTTGGTAATGATTACAAGTCTTTTGTAAACAAAAAATCAGATTTTTTAATGAGCATTTTTACTACCAATTTGTTTGTGAATATATCAAGTCTGTTTCATTACTAGTCTGAGTGCAAAGTGATTTTCATGTTATGATTAAAAAAACTATTCCTTGTCCCAAAAATATCCAAATATTATTTGTATAATGTCTAAAACTTCCTAAATATATTTCAAATGCTTGTTTTTAGTAAAACTTTATATTTTTTGTCTGTTATTTTCTCTACCCTAACTATATTGAGTCTGTCAATTTGACTGACCTTGTAACCACCATAAAAAAATTAGGAAATAAATACAAATTATGCTTTTTTCATTCTAGAATGACTACAAATTATAACACAAACACAAATGTTTAGTCTAAATAGCTTAAATCTCATAACATTATACATATTTATGTAATTATTTTTATTAGATTGACCTTCCAGCCATGCCTGGGTAACATCACAGAAATTGCAATGACGCGGCACATGTGCACTCATGTTACCGTATCCAAGAATATATAACTGGCCTTTACAAAGTGACCTGTTTTTCTTAAAACATAGAATAGTAAATAAAGAAGTATAGCAAACAATTATTTCTCCTAATTACAAACTTTGTACTCATTTTCTGCTTGCCGTAGGCTGCTAAGCCTTATTCCATTTCGCACATGGAGGATGTGAAATGAAATAATTTTTTTAGGTTTTACATATATATATATATACATTTGAAATAACCAAAAAATCGTAAATTATTATATCAGTAACATCCACTATAATTTATTAACCTTTATAAGTAAGCTGTATTTGGGTTTAAAAAAATATGAAGTTTCAAGTTCACTAAAGACTTACCAGCTTGAAATCTTGTATGAAAATAATGAGATTGACATCTTAATATTTCAAAATGGCTGAAAAAGCCACTAGAGGGACATTCTGAGTTCTTGAATGGTTATTCATATGTCACATACAGAAGTAAGTGTTTATAAAGGACAGTTTCCAAAAATGGAAAGTGGTGAGTGGGGCCACTGTGTTTGATTCAGTGCACGAGTGACATCTTGGCAAATAGAAAAGATAGGAGGTTCTTATTTTATATTCTGTCGTGTTAATATCTGTAATTTGAGTTCCTAATTCATATGAGACTATAGACTTTGTATTTTGACATCACAAACCTCTAATTTGAACCAGTGTTGCATTCAACATACCATGTGACACACAGAAATCTGTTTTTTTTATTTACTCTTAAATTAAGGAACAAATAATGTACAATACTAAAATGTAAGTTATAATCTACAGTTTGATACCAATCTTATTGACATAAATTCAGAAAATAGTAGTTCAATAAAATTTTGAATGCAAGTCAACAAATGCGATGACATGGCCTTTGACCCGTGACCCATGGTGATAGGGTTAACAGGCTACTTGCATTCACTGCAATATAACAAGTGTATAGACCTGTTGATGTCCAAAAGTCATGATAATTGTTAGAGCTGGGAAGTTATTAGACTTTGATAATTTATTGTTGAGTTGAGCTTATTGATTGATTATCTTAAACTAATCGATTATTCTCACATGAGAATTGGATTGGTGGAATAATCAAAAATAGTAATAATTGGGAATGCTAACTTCAGTCAGATGATTATTTTTCTCAGTTGTGACACTAACTGACACAACCTTGAATTAATCAAATAAATAGAAATCATAATGACAATATTTTGATCATTTGGGTGATTGGAATAATTAAGAATTGTAGTAACTGGAAACAATTTCAATTATTTGATTATTTTTGTGACGTTAAAGGATTTAACCATTATTTTGCTTAATCAATTGTTTTATGTTACACTAATTGATGTAATTGATGATCATAGGTAACTGATGATATTGATTGATCAAGTTAATTGCCCAGCTATGCTGCTTACTAGAAATATAATTACTTTATTGATGAGGACAGATTTGTAAGGTTGTATTTTATTTACTTCATTATAAACTGCTTTTTTGTTGTACCAAAGTTAATATATAACCACTTTTTAAAATTACATTACTGTAGCAGCCTTGAATTTATATATATATCACTTATAATAATGTTATTTCAAGCTTGATACTGTACAGCAGCTCTTAGAAAATGTTCAACAATTACCAAACAATTTATGGAAGGCTTAAGCAAAGAAAAAATGTAGTTTAATGTAGCACAATTTGTGTTTTATGAATAGATCATATTGAAAAGAAGTTATGCTCTCTCTGTTTTTATTAATGTTTATAAAACAACCAAGTGGTGTGCACTGCAATACTGTTGTTCATGTACAATTTGTGTAAGAGTGTGGTTCATTTGTCCCTCAAGACTTGGTAAGTAGGAAATGCCGAGTTGGAATGTACATGTATACCTACAGCATACTAGTCTGACCTGTCATTAATATTAATAATAGTGACATAATATTCAAGTAGTTAAGAGTATGAATGGGTTATTGCATGTATTAATGCAAAAAAAATAGACTTATGACAGTTAATAGCTGGGATTCATCATAACTGAGGTATAATGAAATGAAGGGTTGTGGATAACTTTTGAAACTTAATATTTATTTGTAAGTCAGCCGTGACAGTCAAAATTTTCTAAGACTTTTTATTATGAAAGTTAATGGATAACACTATTACAAAGTCTCAATTATATACAAAATCATGCAAGCAGTTTGATCTTGAGTTGTACGTTTATCCTGTAGTTGTTGCTCGATAATCCATTATCTATTCTGTATTTAGTTAACCTTAGAACAATATTTACCTTAGTTAACCTTAGAACAATATTGTAAAAACTTAACTTTAAGATGTTTTTAAGGGAGTTCTAAGCATAAGCTTTATACATATATAATTTTTTGTACATCATTAGCAGTATATTTCTTACATTGAATTTTACAATGGTTATGTATTTTACTGTTTTTCCAGCTGCTGTTGGTCTTATTTATCCTTGTGTAGACCAGAAGCTTGGAGAGCACCAGCTTTATAAACAGGAATGGTCAAATGTGATGAGATGTGTGGCTGTTTTTGTTGGTATTAACCATGCAAGTGCTGTATCCTTTATTTTTTGTTATTAATATAGTATAATTGTTTTATTTTTAGTGTTGATGTTAATATGAAAAGTTTATAAAAATTTTGATTTGGCACATCATAAATTAACACAATATGATTGACATGTGTAGAAGTTATTCATCCATATTTGTTACAACCAACCATCATATTAGACTTGCAGAAATAGAAAGTATTGAGAAACATTTTGTCACTTTTTTTACTTGAATAATTGAATTACATGATGATATTGCATCTAAGCCTACTGAAGTGGTAATGTGTTTCATATCCCTCTTTCCATTTAAAACAAAATCTTTACAGTCTGTCCTGAAATATATTGTTCTGTTAGTTATCAATTTAATATTTATATTTAAGTTAGTTAAGAATAAGAAATAGGCGCTGTCTGTAAAGTTGTCAAATGGGGAAAAAAAAATTTTGGTTTGGGGAAGTTTAAACAATATCTTAAAAACAAAATAAAATCATTATGTAACAAATTACTTTTGGTCCAAAATAATGTTAATAGAAAATGGTGGTGTGCCACATGGATGGTGGTGTGTGTTTATAACAAATCATTTTAAGAAGTACTAGGTTGAACCTGGATATTTGCATTTCAGTCAATTCAATTATGTGTATTTTTTTTACCATTTTGTAAACATTGTGGGGGTCTTATCTTTTGACATTATGCTTAACACTAATTTTAGAAAATTGACTTCAGCAGCAACCTTCAGCTTTCTTTGTCACTTGCTGTCCTCTCTATAGGATTGTGGTGGTGGTTTGATCGAACTCGAAGTGGGTTTGGCCTAGGTGTGAGCATTGCTGTTATTGCAACATTTATAACACAAATGTTAGTCTATCATGGAGTTTATAAGTAAGTACTTCCATTTTTTTGTATGTTAATTATTGAAAAATAAGCTAAATATAAACTTGCTCTGTTCATCTCAAAGTCTGAGTTGTATTTACAGCTCAGATTCTGAGATGAAGAGAACATGTCAAATGTTATTGATTTAAGACGGCTTAAGATTTACAGTTGCAAGATGTATAAATCCTCAATTGCAATTCATCCTTAGTTAAAATTATAATACTATAATCGTCCTTAGTTCTATTCATTGTGTTAAAGCTGTAATTTGAAATTGCAGCATTGCACGTGGTGAGTTAAACTAGATGAATAAAATATTTGATACAACCTACTCTTTGACATAGCTAGGACATACTTTTTATCCCAAAAATATTGCTTATTCTTGTTATTCCCTTCTTTAAATTTAAATATATTTATTCTAAGAATAGTTTTCTGATGTAAACTGGTGGATATATTCTGCCCTATGTAGTGGTTGGTTTATTTTTTTTTATATACGTGGAATATTGCTCTGTGTAAAGTAAATGAACACTTGATTTCTTTGTGATAACAATCAGATAGGTAACAGGTTTGTTTAGTTATTTATGGGCTATATTATCATTAAAGATGGTACAAAATTCATTGAAAAAATTCTGAATCTCTTTTTTTTTGCATTAAAGCATCGTTTTCCACATTTCTGTACACCAGTATAAGCAAAACTTGAACCAATTTAATTTTAAGTCATAGGACAAAACTATGAAATTGTTCATATAATCTATAAACAAACGAAATATCAAGTAATCCATCTTAATTGAACAAAACAATCCTACTCTAAACCAACACCCTGGGGTGCCAAATATCTAAGTCTTGCAACAGTATCTGGTCATGTGACCTCTTTGTTCCATACTATTATACATATATATATATATTTCATACATATATATATGTGTGTGTCAGTGTAAACTACTTGTACCTGATGATGACAATACCTTGTCGAATCGTTGTACATTTGCTGTTATGCTAAACTTGTATTAAAGTTTTTCTTCATAACCCATTCAAGCCGTCTCCAAGCATTATTAATCTAGACAGTGTTGATTTAAGATAAACACTTTGCAGAAATGTTCTATTTACACCTCATAAGCTTGTTGTATCTTTTCCATCCAAGTGAAGGGTAAACACCATTTGGGACTTGTTTGGTAGTCATTAATCTGATGTGATTAAGTGTTGATTACTTAGATTTTTTAGTACTAAACTATTATAGAATCTTGCACTTACACACTGATTGAGCCAGTTTATTAGGAGCATTTCATCTATTTTCAAATGTGAAATAGTCTGACCATGTGGTGTTTCAGGTGATTTTAAAGCATTTCAGTTTGTGTGTCTATCTAGAAGGATCTTTGACTGGCTGTTCAAATATATTTATCATTAGAATATGTTAACAGGGATAATTTATAGGGCATATGTTTGTCACCAGGAACAATTGGGTGACAGACTGATGAGCGAAACTTGGATTGGATGGGTTTGTGAAGAACAACAAACCTCAGATCATGACCCAACTGACAGATTTCTTCAACATTGGTTAGAAGTTTACTGCCTTAAAATGTACTAATGTAACCATACAAAGACCTTTCCAAAAGTTGCTATATGGTAGGTGATAGCTATTTCAGTAAACATTGTCTCAAAAAATAGAAAAAATGACTCTTTTACATGAATCGTGCCTAGAGTGCAAATTGTAGACAATGAATGACTATAAGAGTGTGTATCAACAGTAGAGTAAAAATGTTAAGAAAGCCATATGAGGCAATTAACTCTGTGCATGTTTATCTGACAGTTAAAGCTGCTAGAGATTGAACAGAGGTGTGAAAAACATTTTCATGGCATAGTTTGGGTTACCCAATTACTTCAGGAAGTCAAATTGCTCTCAAAATGTACCTGATGTTGTTACCTGTTATGTCCACCCCAATTCACTTTATTGTACCCATTTCAACCCAAATGAACAAAGGTTCTTCTAAGACGATAATGTCTCAGTTGGTTGCACTGGTCCATAAATGGCTCATAAATTATGACAGTGAATTTAGTTATTTCCTTTGGCCTGCACAATCCTTATATTCCAATCTTATTTAACAAGTTTGGGTTCTTGTGATTGTTGTATTCACCACAATGATCCTTTTCTGACACTTTTATACTAATTGTAGATCCTGATGTGTAGTTTACAATTAAAAAAAAAAAAGAATAAAAACCTTGTAGCATCTGTATAGTCTATCACCCATAGTCCAAGGTATTATCCTGGTAAAAGGTTGTCCAAATCAATATAAGATGGTAGTCTTTAAAAAGTGACTAATCAGTGTAAGTTATTAAAATGCACGAGACAAATATTACAACATCCCTACTGAGCAACTCTTTATGAGAAACATAGTTCACAAGGTTTAACTGTGTAAATGTATTCATTGGAGTTTAAAAAACATTTGTAATAGGGTATGAATGTAGTAAGAAGTACTAAAAGTTATTTTAGGGTTGAATAATATCTATCAATTTATATTATTATTATTATTTACACAGCTACACAGAGCGAGACTTCCTGTACATTCGATCTTGGCTCCCTTGTGTATTTTTCTCTGGTGGAATTACAATAGGTAACATTGGACGGCAATTAGCAGTGGTACGTATTTTCTTTTGCTTTGTGTATGAAATGAAACACTTCTGCTATCATTACTACATTAATTTCACACGTCATAGACAGAAGTAAGTGTATGTAAGTGTTTCCAAAAATGGAAAGAGGTGGGCAGGGCCACTGTGTTTGATTCACTAAATGTAGCAATATCTCAGAAAATATAGGAGATTATTATTTTATATTCTAGCTTGTCAGTATTAGTAATTTGAGTTCATAATCTGTAAGAAACTATAGGTCTTGTATAAGGACATCATAAACATATAATCTGAACCAATGCTGCATTCAACATGTCACATGACACACAAAAATTAATATTTAGGATTTTTTGAAATACTTTCTTTTAAATTAAGAAATTAACTAATGTGTAATATTAAAATTTGAAATATAATCTACAATTTGATGCCAAACTTATTGACATACATTCATAAAATAGTAGTTCAATAAAATTTTGAATGTAATTCTAGACACGTGATGATATGGCCTGTGATCATAGAAAGACCTGTCTCAGTATATTTAAGTAAAAATGTAGTGCAGTTGATCCCCCCCCCCCTCCTTTTTTTTTTTTAAAGCCACAAAAACTTTCTCGGTCAACTTTAAGAGATAGATAGAACCTTCTTAACATCAGGATTTTCCGACGTTAGACCCTTAGTCAAAAGGCCTTTGTCCCAAACCACTTGGGAAGAGAAAAGCTGTTCTTTTAACTAGGACCATATGATCTCAGTTTTGTTTAATGTTCCAAATGTAGTATATGCATCTATATAGTTTTGTTTTAAATATCATATAGTTGGTTTTTTGACTTTACCATGTAACCCTTTCCATATGGGTCACAGGTGAAAGGCCATGTTATTGCATTTGTTGACTCGCATTCAAAATTTTATTGAACTGCTTTTTATGAATTTATGTCTAAGTTTGGTATCAAACTGTAGGTTATAATTCAAATTTTATTGCTATACATTGCTCAGTTTGTTAATTTAAAAGTAAATATTAAAAAAATTCAGAAAAACATTGGTTTTTGTGTCACCTGGTATATTGAATGCAGCATTGGTTCAAATTAGGTGTTTCTGAAGTCAAAATACTAAGTCTAGTTTCATACGAATTAGAATCTCAAATTACCAATATTGACAAGCTAGAATATAAAATAAGGAGGTCTTGTCTTTTCTATTTGCTAAGATATTGCTCACGTAATGTATCAAACACAGTGCCATCCT